CACCTATATCTGACATACAGTGAATCTCAAACATGGTTTCTCCCCCTTTCAAATATATGTAAGAAGTGGTGAAATGGGCTGATATAAAAAATCCTAGATTTATGTAACAGTCGTAACTACACCTCCAAATTTAACATACAACAGTCCACTTTCAAGCACAATGAACCTGCACAACCTGCAATATATGTTTTCTCTCTTAAGGGGTATGAATGCAGAGTTTCCAGAAGTGCAGCTGTTGAGAAAAAAACAATGACAGCTACAGATGTAAGGTTATTTATTACTAATGGGCTAAGAAGGTAAGTGCTATTCAGGGGTACGTTTCCCAACAAGCATAGTTGGAACTATTCAGTTGTACTATTCATGTTCCCATGATTTCAACATAAAAGTTATTTCGAAACTATAATTTGTCAAGGGTGACCTCTAGTGGACGTGGGGGGAGTGGCGGTTGTTGAATATAGATGGCTGAATACAACACCATGCTGTGAGAAACGCTGCTGATGAGAAATACAAGATGGTGTCAGAACTGAAAAGTGTGCCGTCAGTGTGAATGGACAGGGATTGCCTGTGTTCAACACCACTCTAAACCTAGAAGGAAACGTTTCGGAGAACTGGAGGAAATGGATACGACAAGTTTGTCTGTACCTGTCCTCCAAGAAATGGACGGCAAACTGGAAAGGCTTCAGTGTTCACTACTGCTTTGCTGTGCCGGCGAGCAGGCTCAGGTGTCACTTCCAGCGACGGCAATGTGGACAGAACAGAGCCGTGAATAAGGAAATTCGAGGAATACTGCACCCCAAGAAAGAAACACTGCATATAAGAGACATTTAAACAGCATCAGTCTCCTCTAATGTAAGAACCTGGGGCCTCATGTATAAATGGTGTGTACGCACGAAAATGTTGCGTACGGCCGTTTCCACACTCACGTCGAGATGTATAAAAACGAAACTTGGCGTACCACTACACACATTCTTATGGTAGCTCCAGACATGGCGTACGCACATTTCTGCTCGGTTTTGTAAACGGACGACACTCAGTGGCAAGTCATTGCTACTGTGGTTTCCCTTTTTAAACTGACAATCATGACGCTGACTTTATCAAATACACCAACATTAATTGTATGTTGTTTATAAATGTACGGCACCTGATTTTTAATCAATTTGTAACAATAAAACGGTGCATAAAATGACCGAACTATTACAACTACCATGGCAGCTCTTGCGTTATTGGAAGACATAGCTTATGGAAGAATTAGAAGAGAGCATGTATTCAGGCCCAGGATGATAACTGGCTTCTAAGTCGATTCAGATTTCCAAGAGCAATCCTTTTGGAGCTGTGTGCTAAACTGGGGCCAGCATTACAAAGGCAGATGATGAGGAATTGCGTTATACCTGTCCCAGCACCGGCAGCTCGGCCCTTCCTGGGGACGTGCCTGGCCGTGAAAGGGGCCAGGTCTGTTGGGGATGCGATCCCATGGATCCCCAAGTCCCTGAAAAAGGCGGCCCCTGCACCTGAGGCGCAACCCCCTGCTCCGCCCCCCGAGGTTTCTGACCCTCCGGCTTTAGTCCCCCCAGTTCCTGCTCCAGCCCTCATGCCCCTGGCTCCCATCCCCTTAGTGGAGATGGAGGAGGAGCTCAAATGGGACCCCTTGGGGATTACCCTGACTTCCCCTGTGACTCCTCCCCCACCACCCCAGCATGGCAGGTCCCGGCCGCGTCCCCACCTCTCGGTCTCCCAGAAAGGGAGAGGACACCTACGCCAGGGTCCTACCCGCCCTGCCCCCTGGCTCGCCTTCAGTTCCCCTGGCTGGGTCCTCCAGCTCCTGCTCAGCAGTCGCCCACGGGTCCGCCTGCGTCAGTTCTGACGCTCACTTGCCAATTGTAGTTGTTTTTGGTGGTGGACAGGGGTCAGCATGGGCACTCTGACCGGTCTGCAGCTATGCAGCCCCATACACTGCAAGCTGCAATACACTGTGTGTTCTGACACCTTTCTGTCACAGTCAGCATTAACCTTTTCAGCAATTTGTGCTACAGTAGTTCTCCTGTGGGATTGGACAGATGGGCTAGCCTTTGCTCCGCACGTGCATCAGTAAGCTTTGAGTGTCCATGACCCTGTCACTGGTTGGCCATCTTTGGACTATTTTTGGTAGATACTAATCACTGCATATTGAGAATACCCTACAAGACCAGCCATTTTGGAGATGCCATCACAGTTTGGCCCTTGTCAAAATTGCTCAGATCCTTACATTTGTCTACTTTTCTTGCTTCCAACATATCAACTTCAAGAACTGACTGTTCACAAGCTTTATACATAAAGGCACCCAAAGATGTGCCATTGGAATTAGATAATGTTATTCACTAGGGGTGTTGAAATTAATCTCATAATCGATGCATCGCGATGCAGACGTGGACGATTCTGCATCGATGCAGTGACAGAAAATAATCGATTATATCATAATGACATTGCTTGGTGATTTTCTGGTGGTGGCATAAAAATTCTAGTTAAAAAGTAGTTCCGGTAGTGACTGTGGCTGCCTGATCTGAGTACAGCGTTGCTCCGTGTAGGAGTAACTCTCACTGACGGCACTCACCGCATGCGTGCCAGCCGAGAATGGCGGAGAGATTAAAAACGCTCCAAACATTTTAAAAGCTGATATCTGGACACATTTTGGATTTTATGAACAGATTGGGAAGCATGAACTGGACAAGTCGCATGCGGTGTGTAAAGTCTGTCACTCAAAAATTAAATAGGTTGGGAACACTACCAACTTAAAAAATCACGTTAGCCGTTTCCACCCTGAGATGCTAACAACACCACCAGCCAGAGAAATCCCAAATCCAGCTATGTCTATATTCTTTGTTTCTGTTTACAATTTAATGTAATATCACAATTTCTGTTTACATTTTCAGGTTAAATAAAAATGGGAGCTTACATCTCACTGCTTGTATTTGTATTTGAAAATATAATGTGAAGTAATGTAGAAAAATTGATGGGATGCATCGTGATGCATCGCGATGCATCAAGATATCGAATCGAATCGAATCGCTGACATGATAATCGTAATCGAATAGAATCGTGAGACCAGTGAAGGTTCACACCTCTATTATTTACTTCACCTGTCAGTGGTTTTAATTTTGTGGCTGATCTGTTGGTGTTTTGTCTCTGGGTTTCTTTCTGGTGTACCGGTGTCTCATCCCTGGCATTGTGCTTCAGTGTACCTGTATCTGGGTTTATCCTGTGTATAATTACACACAATCAGTGTATTTTATGTTTATTTAAATCCATACCTGACAGAGGTGTCATCTGTAATTGCTTGTATGTGGATTGTAAATGGGTTCCGGCCTTCCATACGTTCATAAGCTTTACCAGAATAAGCCCTTTACATTTTCAATATCCGTCGTGTTATTTATGTCATTCCTTTGTACAATCTAATACTATAGTCATGGCAATAATGTCTCATCATACCCATTTTATTATACATATTTCTGGTTAGCATTATTATGAATTGTATTTAATGAATTTTGGTTTCTGTTCCTGTCAGCTTTAAAAATAGAAGGAAAGAATCTCCAAGAGTGTCACAAGAATGTGCTTAACAACAAAGAAAACAAAACAAAAAGCATTGCAGCATACCGCATACTGCATCTCTTGTTTCTGAGTTAGCCAGAATTACACACTCTTGTACATCTCATCCCAATCAGCAACCCCAAGACCAAATAATTACTAGTTTCCTATAACAATCTCTGGATTTAGGGAAGTATGTTTTATAATGTCAGGCTGAAACTAATTTTCAGTCACGGTAACTGGGTGCAGTTTTTTTAGAAATGGTTATTTTAACCTTGTTCTGTGTGTGTTGCAGTCACCAAGATGTTAGTGCTTGTCCCCTCGTCCTTATTATTTAATGTGTCACTGAATGAGTATGTTTTCTCATTTTATATGTTCATTACTAGTGGACACTGTCTGCTGCCCACGGTTTCATATCTAAAAATAAACAGAAAGAAACAGGTTTAATGTTATGTTGGCTTTCGCAACCTTGGGTGTTTGTCAGTTTGGAGGAAAAACATCAGTTGCAACAAGGCAATGACCCGAAACAGATAAGCGAACCCACAGAATGGCTTCAAAAGAAATTAACTTTGTGTTGTGGAATCAGAGTTCAGACCACCACAACCAAACTGAGCTGCTATTGCTAATGAGTTGAATCACAAAACATCAATGATATGAAACAATGTTGAAAGAAAGCATTGTCAGACTTGTGCAAGACTAATCAGCAGCTACAGAAAAAGTATGGTGATGATTATTATTGATAAACAAAGTTCTACTACTTACTAAATGCAAGGACTTTGATTTTGGATGATCAAGCAATAAAGACATGAAAAAATGTATGAAAATGCAATTTTGAGTGTCATTACTTGTCTTATTGTTATTCAAATTAATATCACACCAAGGGTTATGAATGAAGTAGACTCTGTTGACATGACAACAATTTATTCCATGGACTGCCCCATCACTCTCCCCCATCTTAACCCTACTCCTTACCCTCCCCCCTCCAACCTCTATCTCCCCCTACACTAGAGTAGTAGAGGAATACTTAATTTTTCATACCATCATATTGTGCATACATTATACTGTGGTATATGCTATTTAGACAGTATTTTCAAAAGAATCATTATTATGGGGGGTGAGGCATACGTCTGATCTGTCTTAAATGTATTGAGATTCACCATATTTGTGCCTTTTTGTCATCACTATAGAGTTAATTTTGGGGCAGTCTTTCTCAAAATTTAATCAGTTCTAGTTTGCCATCCATAAAATTTGAAAAAGATTCATCAAATACTATTATTGTTTTGAGGAATTGTCTGACTGGTCCCAATACAATGTGTTCCCCATCCAGAGAATACGATTAATGAATCTGAGTCATTCCGAAAAGTTCACATTCCCTGCACTTATTTGTATGCCTTTTTGTCTCCCATAGCCTAGCCCAGTATAATTGGAATGTATCAAAACTGGAATGCCAACAACAAGGAAACAGAAGGTTATGACTCAATCAGTGAAGTCAATCCAAAGTATAAATTAGCTGATAGCAAGTGCACATACCTGTACACTTGTATTCTCTGACACGGGCTGAGCGTTACTGGAAGCAATGGCTCTTGGGACAAGTGTGTGCTTTGTGATGCTGCTGAGTCTGGTTGTTAAAGGTAAGTAGTACTTCAGCAATGACAAAGGGTCATGGTTGTACCTCTGTGCTGCTTGAATGTTGTGTGTATAATGTGTATTTCGAATGTTTGTAACTATCCAGCTATGGGAAAATGTGAATTAAAATGGGCTAAGAGATATGACATCCAAACAGATACTCCATGAACTCTTTATTGCTGAATTACTTGGCTGCTTAACTTTGCTGCTTGAAATTCTTCATTTGCTTCAGTTGAATGGAAATATTCAAAAACAAACAGATGCTTTCTTGAATCTCTTAAAAAATAGATATTTTTATAATCAATATGGAATACAATGATATGGAAATGAACATGAACATTTGCAAAAGGAATTTTAAAAGGCATTTGTAGTTAAAGCTATATTGGTCCCTCAAAGGACAAACATAATTCTGTATGGCTTTGTTATACCACCAAATGAATACAGAATTAACACAAAGGGAAGTATAGTGGTACCTCAGGATTCGAACTTAATCCATTCAGAACTCCGGATCGAATCCTAAAAAGTTCGAGTTGTGATCGAATTTTATTGATTATTATATAATAATTACTGTTACTGTCTATCATTGTCTAAATGTATTTTTACTGTTTAAATATATGTATTCAGCTAGTGTGAACATGCACAATGCTATCACAGCAAATGCGAAGCTGAGATTGAAGCCTTACCTTTTGTTTCCGCTGAGAAACATGCTGCGTGACTCATTTCCCCATGCGTACAAGTTATTTTAGGTCCGCGTTCACGGTTTGACTTCTGAGATTCAGATCGAGTTCTATTTAATTTTTTTTCGAACTGGTTGGTTCGACTTTTAAGAAATTCGAGTTCTAATGAGTTCGAGAACTGAGGTACCACTGTACATGGGTCATTGTCGCTCATTACCATAACATATTAATCCATCCATCCATTATCTTCCGCTTATCTGAGGTCGGGTCGTGGGGGCAGCGGTCTCAGCTGGGAAACACAGACTTCACTCTCCCCAGCCACTTCATCCAGCTCTTCCGGGGGAATCCCGAGCCGTTCCCAGGCCAGCCGAGAGACATAGTCCGTCCAGCATATCTTGGGTCTTCCCCGGGGCCTCCTCCTGGTGAGACATGCCCAGAACACCTCACCAGGGAGGCGTCCAGGAGGCATCCTAAGCAGATGCCCGAGCCACCTCATCTGGCTCAGCTCTTCTCTGAGTCTCTTGATAATGATTGAGCTCCTCACCCTCTCTCTAAGGGAGAGCCCAGCCACCCTGCAGAAGAAACTCATTTCGGCCGCTTGTACTTGCGATCTTGTTCTTTCGCTCACTATCCATAGCTCATGACCAGAGGTGAGGGTAGAAACGTAGATCGACTGGTAAATCGAGAGCTTTGCTTTTTGGCTCAGCTCCTTCTTCACCATGACCGACCAATGCAGCGCCCGCATCACTGCTGACGCCACACCGATCCGTCTGTTGTTCTCCCACTCCATCCTTCCCTCACTCGTGAACAAGACCCCGAGATACTCCTCCACTTGGGGAAGGACCTCCTCCCCAACCCGGAGAGAGCACTCCACCCTTTTCCGGCTAAGGACCATGGTCTCGGATTTGGAGGTGCTGATTTTCATCCCAGCCGCTTCACACTCAGCTGCGAACTGCTCCAGTGAGATCCGAAGGTCACAGTCTGATGAGGCCAACAGAACCACATCATCTGCAAAAAACAGAGACCTAATCCTGAGGTCACCAAAACGGACACCCTCAACGCCCTGGCTGTGCCTAGAAATTCTGTCCATAAAAGTTATGAACAGAATCGGTGACAAAGGGCAGCCCTGGCGGAGTCCAACCCTCACCGGAAACGAGTCCGACTTACTGCTGACAATGTGGACCAAGCTCTGACACCGGTTGTATAGGGACCGAACAGCCCTTATAAAGTAGCCCCGCACCCCATACTCCCGGAGCACTCCCCACAGGACTCCCCGAGGGACGCGGTCAAATGCCTTCTCCAAGTCCACAAAGCACATGTAGACTGGTTGGGCAAACTCCCACGCACCCTCCAGGGCGAAAACCACACTGCTCCTCCTGAATCCGAGGCCCGACGGACCCTCCTCTCCAACACCCTGAATAGACCTTACCAGGAAGGCTGAGGAGTGTGATCCCCTATAGTTGGAACATACCCTCCTGTCCCCCTTCTTAACCCCACACCCATTACTTTGGAAAGGCAGTTTGAAACACAAGAAAAGTAGCAACAATAAAATCCCTTTCACAGTTTATTGGTAGATGGAATGAAAAATGAAAAACTGTGACCATATAAACATAGAAAGCGATAAATATGATGCAGTGACTATTATTAACGCTCTGGGGATGAGGGCATTGTCGACCGCGTATCTTTCTTGTGTATTTCAGTTTATATCTCGCTGAAATAATTATGTAGAATCATGAAAAAAACACTGACTAAATCCGTTATCTGTCTTCTTTTCAAAACTTCAATTGTTGGAAGTATTAAAGTTTTTAAAATTAGGTTAAATAGGTAAAAAAGCAAACCATACCACCTTTCTTTGTTTTACTTGCATCGGGAGTGTGTAGGACCGCTCACAGCTGAAGATCGCTATTCACGTTCTAAATGGGCTGGTTTTGAACCGCCGACTAGGTGATTACAGGCACACAGGCTTAGCCCACTGAGCCATATTGGCGCAAAGCTTCAGTGGCAGAGACGTATCCGTGTGCCATATTGTAGCCGATCATTGTAAACACTACCCAGACATGTACTCTTGTTTATTTTGATCGCAATGGGCGTATTCACATATTTCTTTACCCAATATTAACTGTCGGATTATCATGTTATTATCATGCGAATAGCGCGATTTGCAAGTGGGAAGGCGATCAGAGCTGCTTCGAGACGCAGATGCTTAAGTCAGTCACTCTTGTTCTTTCTATTTGTATCCCGAAGCTGTGAAAATATATTTAGTTTCTACCTACATATTTGAAAAGTAGACCGTCCAAGGTTTCTGAGGGTGTTTTTAAAATGTATATATGACAAAAACTCGCAGAGTTATTTAAACGGTTTGGCGAAATTTCTGTCAGGTCCCGCCGGCGGGACCGCCGACCCCAGGGGGTTAAAGAGGGGGACAACCACCCCAGTCTGCCAATCTAGAGGTACTGCCCCTGGTGTGCACACGATGCTGCAGATGCGTGTCAACCAAGACAGCCCTGCAACATCCAGAGCCTTGAGGAACTCTGGGTGGATCTCATCCACCCCCGGGGCACGGCCACGGAGGAGCTTTTTAACCACCTCAGCGACCTCCGCCCCAGAGATAGGTGAGTCTACCCCCAAGTCCCCAGACTCTGCTTCCTCATTGGAAGGCATGTCAGTGGGATTGAGGAGGTCTTTGAAGTATTTCTTCCACCGACCCACAACGTCCCAAGCTGAGGTCAGCAGTGCACCATCCCCACCATAAACAGTGTTGATGCTGTATCGCTTTCCTACCCTGAGCCGGGGATCGGGGATTGTCGCCGCGACAGGCACCAACCACCTTACAGCCACAGCTCTGGCCAGCTGCCTCCACAATGGAGGCATCGAACATGGCCCATTCGGACTCAATATGCCCCGCCTCCCCTGGGACATCGGCGAAACTCTGCCGGAGGTAGGAGTTGAAGATCCTTCTGACAGGGGATTCCGCCAGACGTTCCCAGCAGATCCACACTATACGCTTCGGTCTGCCAGGTCAGACTGGCTTCCTCCCCCACCAGCGGGGCCAACCCACCACCAGGTGGTGATCGGTTGACAGCTCCGCCCTCTCCTCACTCGAGTGTCTAATACATGTGGCCACAAGTCTGATGACACGACAATAAAATCGATCATTGAACTGTGGCCTAGGGTGTCTTGGTGTCAAGTGCACATATGGACACCCTTATGCTTGAACATGGTGTTCATTATGGACAATCCGTGACGAGCACAGAAGTCCACTAACAAAACACCGCTCGGGTTCAGATCGGGGGGGGAGGGCAGGCGAGGTCTCACAACCTCGCGCACCAGCTCAGGTTCCTTCCCCACCAGAAGTGTGACATTCCATGTCCTTAGAGCTAGCTTCTGCAGCCGAGGATCAGACCGCCAAGGTCCCCGCCTTCGGCCACTGCCCAACTTGCACTGCACTCGACCCATTTGACCCCTCCTACAGGTGGTGAGCCCATTGGTGGGGGGACCCACATGCCTTCAATTATGCCGCACTTCGTCTAGTTCCTCACCCAGGACCTGTTTGCCTTCACTGTAAAAAATGTCCGTGAAATTAACTGAGAAATTCTGTAAAATAACGACATAAAAAAACTGTAAAAGGAAAAACAATAGAGCAGCGTATATTTGACATTAAGATTTTGTAAAATGCTTAACAAAAAACAACTTCATTTTTCAGTAAAAATATGTTTTAAAAAATATTTTTTTGGTAGAGTTAAACTACTGTAGTTTAAACGCAAACAAACTAATATAAAAACCAGTACAATACAGTTAAAATTACACCATAACAGTGTGAAAATAATATTTTTTTAATCAGGTCAACTTTGTTTATACTGAAAGATAACCGTGTTACATTTTACAAATTAATATTCTGTGCTTTACAGATGAGAAACAGTAAAACTTTAAATGATATATCAACACTTTCTTTTTGCTACGTGCGTTACGACAACAACCAACAAGAAATAGTCCACACAACAGGATTTTCTGGTTTGTCAGACAGCTTTTGACGGTACATTCGGGCCTACCGTCAGAACTTCACCTCATGGCAACACCTCTGGTCCATTGATAAGAAGGTATTTTTCCACTGAGGTGATAAAAAATACTGCAGCACCGGCGGAGCTCATGTCCCAGCATGCCCCGCGCGCATTTGTAAATAGCCCTTGTATTGTTGTTGTTATTGCTAATGGTTATATTTCCTTATTGTCGCGTGTGTTTACCTGTGTCTTATGTGTACCCTGTCCGATCCTCATGTGTAATTAGCGTCTGTAAATCTCCCACTGTGTATGCGACTTAGAGTTGAGCGT